GATATACAAGGCCAATCTTTTTTAAAAATACGTTAAACCAGCAGCAAATACTTATCACTCTTGCAAGTTTTTGTTTTTTATGGCTAAGAAGATCCCCACGGGCAAACAGACACTTTCTTAAAAGTTGTCAAACAAAGAGAAACCAAAAGAAAAAAAAGTTATAAAAGCACGAGCAATGAATACCACCGGCTTCATAAATCATAGAAATGAAGTATGGGATGACATTTCTCTTTGATTTGTATGAGCTATAAACATATTTAATATACAGTATTGAATATGCCCTTCGTCAGAGCGAAGAAGGGCTAACGTTCGAAACATCAGCTTCGAAACTCTTTACGGTAGCCAATTTACTTTATAAAACCAAGATTACCTTGTTACTTCCACCGACGCAGCATCACAGCTTCTTGAAAAAAACTCACTCCCTTTATATTTAATACACAATTACATGTCAAGCAAAGTTGGCGGCCTTTCAGACAGAATCTTACTCAAGTTTTCATGGCAAAAACAACTGAATTTGAAGTATAGTCACTCGTAATCAATAACGTGATTGATCTCGGAGTCTCCCAGAGGTGCCAGTTAGTCTTATTATGTCATATTGCCTAAATACAGTTCACCAGTAATACGCATGTGAGGAACTCATTACCAGCTTGAGGCGAAGTTCTGCTGACGTCATTGTCTCAATTTCACTTGTCATAAGTTAACAAAGCGACTTACGTCCAGTTGAGACGTCATGCTTCTTCCGGGACGAACTTAATTCCAATTAGGTTTGCCTACAGCACGGCAGAAGCACGACTCTAATTTAGACATCGGACTAGAGTTGTACGTACGCAATTCAGGATTTACTGAAACCAACTAACAATCCCGCCAAAATACATTAAACGTAATTTTTTAATTTAGTTTCGCTCGGCAGAGGCACGATGTCCAAAGCGCTTTCGTGTCAGAGTCGCGTAGCACGGCAGAACTTGTCGGAATTAATTGCTTTGCCGAACTTAATTAAAAAGACGCCGTGCTTCCACCGCGCTCTTATCGGACTTAATTGCCTGAATTAGGTTCGACACGACAGGAGCACGACGTCTAAACTAGGACTTAAAAAGGGAATCATTCTTAGCACAGAGTGACACTTCAGGAAGCGTTTTACCTACTTTTCAGTTTTTGTGAATTTCAACTTCGTTCTGCTTATAGATATTAGTCAATCTGGCTGTTACAGGTAATAATGAGCTCATATATTCTTTGATTTATTATTTTAGCCTCATAACATCGCTCCGAACAAAAATAAATTATGAAATTTTTTGGAAGTGGTATATGTTTTATGGCTTTTGAAAGATTCAGAACTGACCTTCTTGCCATTTTTTTCAGGGAAAAAAACTGTTATAGAAATATGGAGAAACTTGTCAACAAAGATTCACTCTCTTCTCTTGCCGTCTCTCTGTCCACAAAGTTAGTTTCGGTAGACAGAAGAAAAAGCAGAGGGAATAATAAACAACAAGTTAATGGTAAGGTTTTTGAGATAAAGAAACGTTCCGTAGCTGAGCAGTCAATTTCTCTTTCTCTCCGATAAAAGGAATAAATTGTAAGACGAATTGCCCGCGAAACCAAGACTCGTTAATTTCCATGTCTAGTTGTGATATGAGCTCGCGTTCCACGCAGTCTAACCACGGCTGGCCCAGCCAGAGAATATTAATCTGAAGACTTGGGGTGGCTTAGAGTTAAATTGTGAGAGAGGACTAAGTGCTTTATTCAAAAAATAAATTACAATCTCATTTTATCTACAAAATTGATCGATATCTGACAGCGAACATGATCCATACTGCGCACGCGCCTTCAGGGTAGGTGAACACTCGGACCCGAACTGCCAATCTCACGTGATCACCGCGGCAGCAAATGATCTCCTCACATACCGGTGACCTGGGAAAGACATAATTTTTACCGCCTACTTTCAGTTGTTTCGAAACAGAATTTTAATCAGACTGAAGAAGTATGCCACAAGGATACTTTTTGTGCCACAACGTTCACGAACGAACGGTTAAGTTAGGTTAGGATTTGAAGATTCTGAAAAACGTTTATGCGGGAGGCAAACAGCACGATATGAACTTTTGCCTACTGTCTTTCAGCCGTTTGCCCAACAAAGGGAAATCGTTTGCATTTGTTGTGTTCAACACGATGGTTTTTATTTAGGGACTTTTCAACATAAAGTAAACAACATCAGAGGCAAGTTTTTCCGTTTACATTTGTTAGCCACGTAGCACTTAATCTACCCAAAGTAGAAGTTTAGCCATTCGAAACGTTCATATGAATGAGCTTAGGATTAAAAAAAAAAAAACATTCAAAAAATTTTTTTGCTGTTTTTCGCAGGTGGAAATTGAGATAAATTCCATTTCACTTGGTTTGTATTCCTGGAAAAAAACATATTTCTAGAGCCTTGCAAACAACCGAGTCATAAATTAAACGCGACTTACCTCAGGCATGTGGCAAATGCCCGCCTTGCGTTACGATGCACAAACTGGATGGGAAACCCTTTGAAAGTGTGACCGTCAGGAATTGCTCGTCTTATAGCTTGTTGAAATTCTTCATTCCCGGCGGAAACACCCGTGCTATGTTCCAATTCATAAGCAGCGAGAGCTGGAGTAAGAATGTAGCTTAACTCGTCATCCCATGTGGTGTTAAGGCCGAGATCCTAAAGCATTATGGGAAATTTACCAACGATCAGACTCATGCGTAGTTTCCATCACAGCCGATGTTTGAATGTCACACAACGCTCCCTGAACGCTTCTTTAGGGAGTGGGCGTGTGAAAGCATTACGTAACATCCCAAAGGACCACTGTGAAAGAGACGAGCTGGCGCGTCCCTTTTTCAAGTATATGGAGCGATCGATGCCGATTATAAATCGAACGGTGAGAAGAAGACTAGCATCCAAAATTAATCCAAAGCAAATTTCTTTAGTGATGATTGTAACATTTAAATCTGAAGCAAAATTTTACCCTTCTATGATCCGTTACTAGGCCCCTCAGCTCGTGTTCCATGTCATTGCTAACCAGGGCCGAGTCCACACCAGAAGGATACATGGGAGGGAAGACTGGGCCGCTGGGCTGTGATAAAAAAGAACAAAAACCCCTTAGTCCATCTTATATTTAAAGTCAATCATGGGATCCGGGTAAAACTTAAAAACGATAGTTTGTTACGCTAGACAAACGCCAGACGATTAAATGTATGAAAAAAGTAGCTAGGATAACTAACGACAGAGAAAACAGCAAATCGCGTATTGGGAAAAACGTAGACAATAAAATTCTGCACCAATATTTTAGGTCCACACACGGATCGTAAAGCCTCCTCGCTCATACTCTTCCACCGTGCTTCATTCTGAAGTTCAAATTGACAAACCTCAACAGAATCTGTTGGCTGAAAACAGATGTGCAGCGGTCAGTATTCAATATTACAACAAGAGATGCATTCTCCATTCTCAAATGAATATTTCAATAAATCTTAATTGGTAGCAATATATTCTCAACATATTCCTTTTTGAAAGAGTGGTTCGCAGCATTGAAGAAGTTCGTTCAAGGTCATCTCATTCCTGTCAAGGTAACCAGTTCTCTATAAAGTGTCCAAATATATTTCTTAAATTTTTAGATGACCCAAATTTTCCTTTCCTGTGTTGCAAATTCACAAAACATGTCGATACAGGAGTTGTAGGGCGCAAAGAAAAAAAAAAAAAAAAAAAAAAGATTTAATGCGCTGGTAACCTAAAAAAAAAAAAATTTCGCTCGTGAGGAGCAACTAAATCTAAATAATCACAACAGCCAATAAGAAGAAAGGTGAGTATGACAGCGTGCCAATAGAGCAATTTTCATTTGAATGACGAAAATAATCAGAGATTGCGTTGGTTTCGCTTCACTCCATTCTGTGATTGGTCCAGAAAACTCGCGCCACTTTCTCAACGAATCAGATGCAAAAATAAAAGCAATCTCATTAATCATGCCTTAGTCGCCCGCGTTTTCCAGTTTGGTTGTTTTTACTCTGACTTCTCATTGGCTCTTAAAGATACTTTCCTTTCTTCGGATTGGCCGCTGCGATTACTTTGGTTTTTGGTTTTAGGACACTCAATGGAAACGCGCTCTCAGAAGTCAAAGCAAAAACAAACAAAAAAAGGGGAGGGGGAAATGCGGAAAAACCTGGGTGACTATGTCGCTATTAATCATTTCTACTCTTCGCATCTGATGTGTCGAAAATTGGTCGCACGAGTTTTCAGGACCAAAATGACAAAATGAACGACAAAAGCTCTAAAGGGAGACGAGTAACTCTCAGGTTGTGATTTGATTTCTAACCTGACTGTTGGCGTAAAAGGTCCGATGATTAAACACACAGCCTACGGTTCTGTACGGGTGATCAGGGCGGGACTGCTTGAGAGCTGGGGGGTCATCAGGGTTTACTGGGCGGTGAGCGTACCTTTCGAATAAAATGCCAAATAATGAATTCATGTGAAATGGTAGGTTTAACCAAAATCAGAGCCATGACAACTTGAACCCTCGCTACCACAGACCTTGCACAAACTTACTTCCGAGCACATTTACTTCAATATTTGACCCTCAATAACTCGCACCCCCGATAAATCAGACCTTGCGCTGACACGAACAAAACTCGATTTCCCCTGGATTTCTGTCAAAAATTAAGTAATTACCTTATCCTTCCAGGTCATCCACTACATAGGTTTACCCTTGATAACGCAAACCATGTTTTCAATACCTTAGGTGTCAAAACAAACTTCAGTATTTACTTCTCATTAACCGAGCGGGAGGTCTGTATGGGAGAATCTTGACCAGGGTCGCCAGTACAGACCGAACGCAGTGAGGTCTGTATCAGCGACCGAGGTCAAGATTCTCCCATACAGACCGACCTAGCTCGGTTAATAAGATGTTTATTATATGGCTGTGTCTTATATGCCAATTTTTTATATTCTTTGTCCCTTTTTTTTTTTAGACCGGTCTAGATGCCGGTCTAGCGGGAAAATCTAGACTATTTTCAATATTGATTTCAGCCAATCAAATTCGTGAATTCGGTAGTTCCCAGTCCCTGTGAGACAGCCATATAATATGTAGTATTGAACCGTAGTATAGTATAGAAGATGAATTTAACAGTGCATTCCATTTCAATACAGCTTTGCTCCTTTAAAATTCCATCTTCAAACTGAATCGTTCAATTTACAATCGACAACTCTAAAATTCCATCAATTTGATTAAAATGTATACCACTTTTTCCTTATTTTAGGTAACTTGTCCTTAAACGCGATAAATCGAACCTGCTTCAATTCCCTCTAAAGTTCAAGTAATCTGGAGTTGACTTTATCATAAAGTTTAGTTTAGTTTAGTTTTGTTTAATTCATTCGCCACGGGAATGGTAGGAGAAAGGAACAGAACTTTCGTCCCAATTGACACCTAACCCCTTTGCACCCACCATCCCACCCCAGAAAGGACATCCATCACACAGTAATCTCGTGCGTGGGAAATTAATGTCTCCTACCCCCAACCCTGCAGGAGACGGGACCTCCATTTATTCGTCCCTATCTGAGAAGACTAGAATATCTAACCATTTCTTAATGTTATAGAAAGGTAGCAAATTCCTCTCAATTATTTTAAGACCTTGAGTGTTGGTCAGGCCGGAGCTCGAACCCTCGACCTCCCGCACAACAGTCCAGCACACTATCCATTGGACTAACTGGGCGGCGGTAAAGAGACAGTTTGCTGGCACCTCCTGTCACAAACATAGAACTAGATAAATACATTCTTAATATTCAGATAAAACGATACCTGTGAGCTGTCAAACTCTCCCAAAAGTTGACTTCCCCCTCAGGGCTGATTGTCATCACCCAGGTATGGGCAGCACCTTTTGCCTTGGTGCCAACACAAACATATGCATTGAGACCAAAACCCAGAAGAAGACTGCACAATAGGACTGCATGATCCTCACAATCCTTTAAGTAGTGATATAATGAAAGCAAACATTACAGCAAAACACATTCTTTCTGACAACAATAAAATCAAAACAAACCAAAACAAAGCAGATAAACAAATTATGATTGAAACACTTCTGGTATTTTTTGTCGATAATTAGCAACATTTTTCTTATTCCTAAATCTGTTCATTAGAATTCCAGTTCTTGTCACTTTTCCTCAACAATTACTTACCCCTTTTCCTTTGCAGAGAAATGCATGCAAACTGCTCCACATCTCTGCCTTTCCACCACCAACAGATGGTGCATGTTCATACCCTAATAAACTGACAAATCTTGCAGCATGCCGGGGGCTATCAAGTAATCTCCCAGCACGGAGAGGACACACAAATAAGCAGACAGGACGATTGGTGCCACACTCATCTTGAGCAAAAATCTTCACAAGTCTGTTGCTATGAGAGGCACGTATCTGGAGAAATTCCCTCCACCACTGTTTTGCATATACCAAGAAGAGTCGCTCTCTTTCTGCTATTCTGGAGTGTTCCAAGTTTTCTTGTGCTGTGATTACTTCTTTTGTTAAGATCTGAAATTTTGAAACAAAATATTTTTTTTAAAGGTGGTAGTATGTTTTATGGAGACAAAATAATCCTAGCAGCTATTAACCTGTTATTAGAGAATTTGGAGACAAAGAAGTCTGAAAAATTAAACAGGCTTTAATGGCTGCACCGTGCCTCTTAGATCCTACCAGCTATGCTACCAAGCCTCATGATTTTGAGGGAGACAAATTTTGGAGGGTTCTTTTTCCTGTTAAATAATATCCCCACAAGTAACTAAAATAAATCACATTTTGACTTGCTGATGATATACAATTAAAAGAAATGAAAACATCTGTTCATGCACATACAAGTATAACCTCACCTGACTCAACCTTGGAATTATTTCAAACTTAATCTCTACTATTCCCATTGGCACTTTCGCTTCAGCGCCTACACCATTTATTTCCACAGCAGATGTCAATCTTCCATTTGCTGCAGACAGAATGTCCCTCCAGGGAAGGAAATGTGAACCAATAAGTGTTGTGTCACCTGAAGGATCTGTTTTAATAAGGACTAGATGAATGTAATCTGAGATTGATAGAAGAGTTGCTGCATCAGCCATTTTGCCACCATCCTTCTGCAGTTCCAGCAAGAATCCTATGGAAGACAGACTGTGTAAATAACTGAGGGAGCCCATAGTAGCCAAAAGGATTGGGTTTTGAAAGGACCTACAATAGATTAAATCAAAAGGAAAATTTAATACCTTCATTTATGTCTGGTTCACAGGCACAAGGAACAGGTCTTGACCTGAATCGCTGTCCTTTAAAATGAACATGCAAGGTAAATGTGGATGTGACTTTTCCTGGCAGTGGTTCAGGGTCCTGCAGATGTTCCAAAAATGCTTTGCCTCCAAGCACTTGTAGGTATAGATAACGTTTAGTGGGATCCACACCAACTACAAAACACACAAAATGTCAGCAACAACAATAAGCAATGCCTAATTGTTGATTATCAGAGTTGATTATCAGAGTGATGGTTGTCTGGAGAAGAAGACAGTGTTGTTAGATGTAGTGATTCACATTTTGAATTCCTTAGTTGGAGTCTTCATTAGAATCAGAGCTAAAAGTTGTTTGTCAGTTGTGCATTATATGTCTGATTTGTGTAAACTGATTAGCCAGTTTTCTCATGATGTTATTCCCTGAAAGACTGAAGTACTGTACATCAATGATCAAACAATGAAATCGAGTTGCTCTTTTCTGCTCGACTGGACAATCAGAATTCACAACCACACTCACAACACTCATTTGAAAAACAACTCTTCCTTTGATTCCGATGATGACTTCTGCTGAGGTTGTCAAAACATCAGTCTCCTCGACTAATAGTCCTTATCGTGGCCCAGTTCTTCAAAGGCTGATTAGTGTGATCCCAGGGTTAATTTTTAACCCTGATTTCACTATTTCTTTATTTAAAAAGTATTTTTGGATAATTTTCTCTTTTCTTCTCAGAACATCTAATCATCAAATTGTAGTAAAAAAAAATCATATTGAATTTTAAAACTTTCAGATCTAAAATCAGATTTTGCACTCACCCTGGGTTTTCTTAACCCACTTTTCAACAACTCGATCCAGGAATATTACTCTTACCAGGACGATCTGACTATACAATCAAATGTTACTTCCTGGATTCAAACCATTTACTGAACAGACAATGCCTTAGTGTGTGCTAAAACTATAATCACTAGTAATAAAGATGCTAAAAGTAGGGAAATGAATGATAAGCTTTCAGTTCTAATATAATAATAAAAGGGTGTAAAACAAATACTTTCGTTTGTAATTTCATAAATTTGACCAATCTAACGCGTTTGTTTCCCTCGTGTGGTACCTCCAACTGGAGAGTTCAGCCACTTTAAATATCATTATAATTGATACAAGTTTGTTATATTTTGTAAGGAAACACACATGTAAAACGTTCTAAATGGAGTTTGATTCATTCAAAGATGTACATAAATGTACATGTATATACGCGTGTTGCCATCGCGTTTAACAGAGTCCGAAAACAGTTGTTTGTTTACAATCATTTTGCATCTTTTACACTTTATTATAACACTTGGCTACCTAGAGTAAAATGTTAATACCCCTTGTCGGGACTTCGTCCGAGGCATCTACCCTCCTTTTATCCTTTAGTCGTCTCGGATCTCTTTCAAGACCCTCGAATTTTAGCGTATTCATCACATCATCAACGATGCCTCGTTCTTTCAACGCATTCAAAAGCCCTGCTTCATCGATTCCTGAGCTTTCAGCATCCTCTCCTCGGAACGATTCATCCACACAGTCTCTGATCCTAGAATGCACGTTCATTTGAGATACCTGACTGTGAATAATCTGTTTGAGTTCATGAACTTTTTCTGAAGGAAGAGCCATTTTCGCCAAATTTCACTGCAAACTATGCCGTTCAAATGTGGCGCGTGACTTCCGGAAACGGAACTGCGCAAACTCTGCAGCGCTTATGTTGTTGTTCTTATCCGCTGTGTGGATGTATCGCGTCTGATGATTCAGCGCATGTCAACATTACACAGCTTCGCTGTCCTTCGCTGTAACTTATCGCATGTTCATTTTTCTTGGCGCAAAAATTTGAACGAGTAATTCTCTTTCCGCAATGAATACCTTCGTAAATTGAAATTGTTTGAGCGATTGAGAACAAAAGAGAGACCTGCAAGATCAACTTAGTCTCTGTTATGGAGCTAGTCCATGATCTCTCAGAGGCCCTTCCTCTTCAGGCTCCTCTAACCTACCATGTTGAAGTCCTTCAAAATCCATCCAGGTAAATGAAGAAGATGGTCGATTACCCCCAAAAAAACTATAATGGAAATGAAAACAATTTTAAAAATCCAAGATTCACGTAAATTTTGTAGACTGAAGATGGGTTAACTGGTTTCTATTTCAAAAAGTGAACACTTGGAATGTACCAATTCCCGGAAGACTTGCATATGTGATTTAAAAGCAGTACAGCCGAGTACAAAGTTTGACATGCTTCAGGAAAAGATATTGTTAAGTTAAACCCGACGTATCTATTTACTAAAAAACTTTGAGTGAAAAATAGTTTCTTTTTTGTAAAAGTAATGTTTGTATAACCATATTTTCAATCTTTGAACTCATAGCACAGCCCGCTCTGATTTTATAAAAGAGCGTGTGAGAAAATTTTTGATGTGTGAAGCAACTGTTTATGGCGACACCACCTTCACGGAATTCACAGATGGGTTTTTGACGGAGCATGTGAAAGCTGTGAGTGTCTGTGACACAGATTTAGTGTCTAAAGAGAGACAGGTATACAAATCATTCTAACAAGTTTAGATAATGTATTTCAAACAACGAGTCTTGTAATTTAGAGCAGTTTTCTTGTAAGTGTTGAAAAACCAAAACTGAATTATTAATCACAACCACCAATTGGAGCAAAGGTTAACATCATCATTAGATGATGATGATTAGAGAACTCAAAGTAAAAACAGGAAAGCTGCTTGAAGTGCAGCAAAACACAAGTGACCAAATTGGGATCATTTTTTACTTTTGGATTGGATTGGCTTAGATGTTGGCCCAAGTTTTCCAAAACCAAAGAAATTCAGGGTTACTTTTGATAGTCAAATGAAAATCAGTCTAATGGAATGGAGCAACCACATATTTCAGATGAAACTCATGGATCTGAACAAATCCCTGTTTTAACTACCACCTTCAACTCTTTAACTCCCAGATATGATTAACATGTAACTTCCCCCTATAAACTCCATACATAATCAAGCAAACAGGTAATGAGAATACTTAAACTTAACAAGAATTACAGTTGTTTTTTTTTTTTGTGATCTTACACCAAATTCTTATCAATAATTCACAAGGAAATGTGTAGTAGTCAGAGGGGAGAATTAACAATTGGATCTTCATTTCTTGGGAGTTAAAAGGCTAAGAAGTTCTGTATTGATGGCAGTGTGGACCTCAGGAACCATGACTCTATACTGTCCCAATGCCATGACCTCATCTATGGCTTTCCATGCTTCTACTCGTAGTCATTAATGTGGCAAGGCTGTTTTTCTTTTTGAACAGAGTAATCTCAAGAATTGCAAACTTGCAATCCATGTTTTCCAATTGCATGATGATGGGCCAGCAACAGAAGAATTAGAAGACGACATAGCAGCAGCTAATCATTGGCTTCTTCCCTCGGGTATGTGCATAAGTCAGTCCACTTTGAGGTGATAAAAAAAAATGCAAATATTACCTATGATATTTTTTTGATTATTATAACTGTTATCCATCCTCAGTGTTGTTAAGTATAGCCAAAAGGCAGTAAGGTTAAAATGCCAACTTGTAGGAAGCCAACCAGTTGGCTGTTTGCAAGTCTGTAATGACTCAGCCTCGGGCCTCTGATTGCAAGTCCAGCTATTTAAGCAGTAACCCTCTTCCTTGATGAAAATATTTGCTTCGATGGTTGCAGCTGAGTAATTGGATGAATGAATAAAAGAAAATCCTTAATTATGACGACATACTTTCCTTTTCAGATGATTTTCACGGAATGTGGGAAAGTCTGATCTTTGATTCAGATGTCAAAGCCCAGGTGAGAAAACCCTTTAATTTTCACTTCTAGTTTTTCAGTTTTGATTTTGAAAACATGTTTGTGATATTTTCTTCTGATTTTTTTTATTATTATTTATTTATTTTACAGCTGATAAACTACGCAATGACAACATTACTCTTCTCAGACAGGTCAGGAATAATCCCTTCCCACTGCAATTATTTTTAATTTACATACATCGTTTGAAGAAGTTATGAATGCCCCACATGAAGAAATATTGTGGGTTAATAACAACATAAGGAAGAATGCATAGAAGAAAGCTTTGTGCAGGCGTATAAAGATCCAGACTAAGTGCAAGACCTTGAAAAAAATTGCCTTAGAGGCTTTATTAATTTTTGACTGAGAGAAGAAATGATTGTGCAAGAGAATTCACATAAAATGATTTGAACAAATAAAACTTGTGTAGTGTGAAAATTCTCCATTTCTCCCTAACTATTTCATTTTCTATCCCAGAAACTGTATCAATGACACACTGAAATGATCATTATTTTGTTTAGGGGTGTGAACAGTAACATAATATCATGGAATAGAGTGATTCTACTTCACGGTAAGGATGGAAGAGGTCAAAGATTGCTCTCTGTTCAGGGAAGAAGTTTATATTTGTGACAGGGTAGGCAAGAACAGGATAACTTGGTTCATAACATTAATTAGCCATCCTAAAGAGGCCACAAATGTACCTTCTACCTCAAGGAAATTTGTGACTTTAGTAGGTAATAATTTTCATGAATTTTTCTCTAAATGGCAGGGTGAGAGCAGGTCAGGGACTGTCATGGAATTTAGAATTTCTTTCCAGGTCTGGAAAGTTGTGGAATACAAGTGTGGGTTATGAAGAGTCATGATGAAAAATTTTGGGAATTGTTTTGGGGTAGATCCAAAAGCAAGACATCTCAAGAATTAATGATCCATCTTAAATGTTGTATTTAAAGTAATTTTTTTTTGCTCAAGGTCCACCAGGAACTGGGAAGACATCTCTCTGCAAAGCACTGGCTCAAAAACTGAGCATTAGATTGTCAGATAGGTGAGGCAGCATGAAAGTACAGTTCTGTTGCAATCACAATGAAAGTTGTGAAACCACATACATAATTGATCACTACTCCAGGACCAGTTAAAACAAAAATGGAACAAATATTCCAAAATGATAGAAAGAAATCAGCCAAAATCCTGAATGACTGGAGCCAGAGCAGAGGGCTGGTTCTGTGGAAAGTGCTGCTGAAGACCACTGTGTTTAAGTCTGTTGAATACAGCAAGGCAGGATTGTTGTTGCTAAGCACTGGTTGCATAAATCGCCAGATGGAAAAGAGGTGATCACTGGCTGGATTTTTGGCTGGCAATCACTTGGTAAAGCACAATGGGCCGGGCACCTTTCAGGTCACACACTTACAATCCTTCACCACCTTTGAGCTGCCTCGCTTCAAATTTCAGCTGGCAGCATAATTTCTTAGCTAGAACCACGGCAAAGTGGAAAGTTTGAACCTGCAACAATTTTACCTTTAAAAATCAAGAAAATTAGCAGTAGGGTACCATTTAGGGAGTCTTAAGATCAATTTTTTGCAGAGGGCATTTAGTTAGGTGCATAGTCATTCTTATCTTATTCTAGTTTTTATCCTTATAGTATGTTATTTAGACAGGACCCCTTTGATAACAGTGCTCCTGCACTGTAGGGCTATCCTGTATAAATATTCATTATTATTATTATTATTATTATTATTATTATTATTATTGTTATTATTATTAAAGTCCAGTACCCTAACAACTGTGCCATGCTGTCCCCTGTTTCATTAAATACTATAAGTCTAGAAACAAAAAAATATGTAAGTTTTTAGAAATTTTAATTTCTGTGACTAATTCAGTTCTTTGAATGTACATTTACCATACCATTTTTTTTTTTGTTTGTTTCCCAAGGTATTCCTATGGGCAGCTGATAGAGATAAATAGCCATAGTCTGTTTTCAAAATGGTTTTCCGAGGAAAGTACTAGTATCATACTTACAATTTCTTTTTCTCTCTTTCAAGTGTTTAAGCATTTTAAAATTTACTATTTTTTTGGTTTCTTTTTTATTGTATTACTCTCTTGATTAAAACAGAGTGGAAAACTTGTGATGAAGATGTTCCAGAAAATCCAAGAACTACTCGATGACAAAGATGCACTTGTTTGTGTCTTGATAGACGAGGTACATATCCTTGAAGTTCACTTTACAAATTCCTTTTCTATTCTTTGGGGCAGCTGAATTTTCATGCTTCTTAATGCAACTACCAAAGGAGGGGCGGCAGATACTTCCCAGTAATAGGCTTATGGGGATATGCTGCTAGATAGGGATGCACTTTTCTCAACTGAATTGACTATGATAGGCAGGGCTCGACACTAACAGTAGCCAACTAGCCACAGACTAGTAGAAATTCAGTTTTGGCTGTGATTTTCGATTTCCAATCGCAATTTTGGCCAGTAAACAAACTGAAATTGTCGAAACATCTAAGTTGTCACTAGCCACTTGGCTTGTAAGTTTAAAAATTGGAGTCAAGCCCTGATAGGGTTGCATTTTCATTAGAATTTCTAGAAAGGGATCACACATTTTTGAGATTTTGGAGGTAAGAAAATCCTGGTGAGAAGGGATTTAACAATAAGATAGATGCATCAACAGAAAGTGACTCTGTTGGGATCGTAATATTACGTTACCCAATTGGCCACAGAATAGACTCTAATGGGGTAGGGGTTCTGAGAGGCCAGTGGCACATACCCGGCCAAAATTGGCACAAGTACGGTTCCTGCGGGGATTACACACCCGTGTTAAGACATTCAGTTATGCTACATTATATGAACTGGCAGGTTGAGAGTTTGACTGCAGCTCGCAAGTCTGCAATGCAGGGCCAGGAGCCTTCAGATGCAATAAGAGTGGTAAATGCTCTGCTCACACAGATTGATCACATTAAAAGGTAATCACTCTATAAACCCACAGAGGTCTTGAAAGATAATTTCCTCAATTAGCTTTAACTAGTCTGTCAACCTAGGCAAGTGAGATGGACCACACTGTAAGTTCAAACAGGCTACCGAGTTACTCCAGTAAAACTGAAGATTCTCTTGAAAATATTCGATTCTGATTTGCATGGAGGGAATGTAGACAAAGGAACAGTGGACTTAGCATCAGTGCTGTTTACCTGTAGGAACATGCCCCTGTTACATTTCCTAAGGGACATTTAACCACAAAAGCTGGAGATTTGGGAGTCCATAGATCATCATCTTGACGTGATTCCTCAGAAAAATCAGTGTTGCACCGGCTAAATAACGACGATTAACATTACAAATATCTCATACGATCAGTTGTTAAACTATACGTAGAAGTGATGTCATACCTACAGACAATAGTTTTATGCACTCTTGTCTTTACAAGTGCAGCCCAGGGATATGCATAATAAAACAATCATTGGATTCGGTTTTCGCATGATAGCGATAATTATCAAGGCCTCAGTTTGTGTTATCGGCCTCAGTCTTCGGCTTACGCAGATAACACAAACTTTGGCCCTGATAATTATCGCTATCATGCTCAACCTCATCCAATAATTGTTAAGTATCTTCGCCACGAGTACGTATCTGATTCACTCGATACAACCTCGTATCTAGAATGTGACTCCAAATTTGGTTTTCTACCATGAATGGAAGCTCTAGAGTTTGCAAAACTCAGCCCTTACCTTTCTTTTAGTATACTCGTCAATTAGTCTTGAATTTGATTGACTAAACAACCTCCGCATCAGACATGAGAAGTTGCACTTTTCTCTCATTTTCCTCATTATCTTTGTTGTTCTGTTGTCATTGTCTCGTGTACTCCTTTTCTGTGCCTTTCTCTTCTACTTTTGCCCTTTGTCGTTGTTGTCATTTTTCTATCCCTCTTTCCACCCTCGTTTCTTATCTTTTCTAATTGCGTTTTCAATACTCTTACTCTTTCCCTTAATTCCCCATCTATGATGATAATACAAACGACAGTCTAAGAGAATAAGTATTTTTAATGTAATGTCTTCGAAAAATCGCCCCACCCGCCGGATTTAAGACTCACTATTACCTTTTCAGATTCCCTAACGTAATCATCCTGACCACCTCTAATGTGACTAAAGCTATAGACTTGGCATTTGTGGACAGGTATGTTGAGTGAAGATTTAAATCTGTGGAAAATCTGTTTCTTTTTTAATTTCGATTACGCTTTTCCACACCCCCTCCATTTTATTTTTGTTTTCACGCGTGACTCGCGTGATTTTTCGTGAATTAGCCAATCATGTTGGGGTTCATTCGTCTTGGCCTTGACATTGGAAACACTGGCGTGGACATTTTCTCGCGCGTGTCTTAGTTGTTCTGCTTTCGGAGTTTAGTCTTTGGTTGTTGTTTTTCAGTTTTCGTTCACGCTTATTTTGATCCCTTCGGAAATTTAAGGAGTTTTATTTAAACCGAATGTCGTGATAATTCTCATAACATTTAGATGGCTCTAGGCTGARMAGTCTCTTTTTTTTGCCCTTGGATTTTTTTTAAATTCTATTGTGGGTGTCAGTAAAACAGCCGGCTTCCTTTGCAATTTAGTAACTAACCACCTTCTTAAGGCCTGTCGCCTTGGAAACGGGCGTTTGTGTTTGCGATTTATTCTAAAAGGTTCCAGAATTTAGTGTCTCTTAATCAACGTAAATGAAGGTAGTTCAAGAAGTCCAGTGGTAGAAAGGTTCGAACACGTCATTCTCAGTTATCGATAATGCAGTATGATGCCTTTGCTTTTTCATTTTTTTGTTTTTGTTTTTGTTGTTGTTGACGATGATTTTTCGGCATCATTTCTCTCTCATTCAACAGGGCAGATATCGTGCAATACATCGGACCTCCCTCTGTAAATTCAATATTCTCCATTTATCATTCCTGCATAGCTGAGCTTATGAGGGTAAGAATTGCTTTATCTACTGCCTTATGAGGATAATATATCGTATTTGTCAGCGAGAAGGTGTCGTTGATGTTGTACGTTTGCTGTTCTTTTTCCAGGCAGGGATAATTTCTCCTGTGCAACAGATACTTGGCATAAGGTTTGCTCTATTTTTTCATTTTTTTATTTTTATTTTTTTCGCTTTTCCTGTGAAGTGCCATTTTCTTATTGTTTTACTCAAAGTAAAATTAACCAGAGGCTGATTCTCCCTTATAGTCCTCATTTCAAGGGAAATTCCTCTCAAGTTTATTGTTAGAATGTAGGTAACCTGTATCCATTGAATAAGGAAATTTTGTATTGAGTTTTGGAAGTATTCCGGAATTGTATCGGTTTGCCTCGCTACAATCTGTGATTGGTCCAGAACACTGGCGCCCTTTATTTCAACCAATCAGATGTAAAACTAAAACCAATCACGACTAGCTCACATGGGTTCTTCCCCTCCTCAGGCAGTTTACTCGTTCTCACCTTGAGTTCGCATTTGCTCATAAAGACACATTTTCGTTTGTTTTGATCGGTCGTTGTGGTAGCTGTGGTTTTGGTTTTACGACAATTTAATCGAAAAGCGGCCCCGATGTAACATCAATCGCTCGTGTTGTTTGAATGTTTCTGCGAAGAACGCGTTGCTTGGAATGGCCTCGTGAGCAAAATTCACGACACAGGATTGGTTGTTTGATGAGATCTCCAGTTATGGAAGTGATCGAAAAACAACTTATCATTGTGAGAGTATGGCTCATGTGAGGACTTCAGTCTCTTGCCCTGGCTGATAACGACTTGAGTTACTGTTACTATATGCTAAAAAAAACATTTCTTATTTCTTCTTTTCAACGGAATTGCTGAACAGAGACTTGGAAGTGTTACGGTGAGTTGGCGTTTTATCAAACGTTTTCCGCTATCTCATCAGTATTCAGAAAATGAGCGCTTTTTTAACATCGTATAAAAGGAGAAAGCTCGATGGACCCGCTACAGTAGAACCCCGCTGATTCGGACTACCGAGGGAAACGAAAACAGTTCGAGATATTATTCGAGGAGTTCGTTTTCGTCGCTTAAAGGCATTTTATTCAAATGTAATGGCTTCAAATTCAATTTAACCGAGCTCAAGTTAGCGAGGGTCTTCTGTATTCTGATGAACTGTAAGAACGGGTAAAGGGTGAATTTACTCCTGTCTGTACTATAATGAGTATAATGTACTATGTAATGTACTATAATGAGTTTCATAATGTACTATATAATGTACTATATAATGTACTATATAATGTACCATATAATGTACTATATAATGTACCATATAATGTACTATATAATGTACTATATAATGTACTATAATGAGTTTCAGTGCTCACTGGCTAAATATTTTTTACTTTTTCAGTTTTGTCCATAACGATGCCACAAATCTGAGCCTGGAGCTTTTAGAAATAGCGAGGTTGGTTTCACAGAGTTTGTCTAGTGTATACTGTTAAAATTGACCAAATGTCGTACCCTATTTCTACACAGAACGCTTTTGATACTGCTGATCCTACCAGCATGTTTTGCGCAGGTCAGCTAAGCACCCATAAAAAGCAGACTGTAAGCTTCTAGCCTCACTTAGTTATAGGTTTTGTGGTGGTTCAGTGGAAGTGTATCCGAAATCAGACATGGGTTGAGAATCCTCACGAGAACTTAGATTTACAAATAAAGACATTAGAAGATGAACATCCATCTGTTTACATTAACATCTGTCTCGTTGGAACGCGATATTTGTACATTGTTTTGGTCAGTTTTTGATGTTCTATTTTATTTTACTACAGGAAGAGTCATGGACTTAGCGGAAGGACCCTCAGAAGGATTCCATTTTTGGCACACGCGCGACACATTCAGGTCAATTTTAAGTTGTAAATTAGACGCATATTTGCCTTCATTCGGGCTTTCTGTTGGAGAGAAACTTTGTTTTTGTGCCTGTTTGGTTCACGATCACGTCTACATACACGATGAGATTTGCATTTATGCTTCTCTTGATTAGCATTAGATAGCTCAGTTCATATAGTATGTTTCTTGATGAAAGCCGGTTCACTGATAGATGTTCGCTCATAAAGAGATCTTTGATAGCGTTCGCGGTCCGACACGTTCCGTAAACGCTCGACATCTTTTACTGTAGTGTGGGCCTACCGCGAACGCTGTATGCGTATTTTGTATGTGTTTGGAGCGTATTATACATAGTAACTGTGCTGATTTTGCACCTCTAAAACTTCTCTTCTTCCGCCATTATGCATGCCTTAAGCTCATCAGTCAAAACGGCGCGCATGTGTTTTAAGGACTTGACTGCCATCGGCAACTGAACGAAAAAAAAGAACGAAGCCGGAATTTCAACTTGGGCGTCTCTTTGGAAAGCCCGAGTAATTATCGGGATTTTGTGATGTTGTTGTTTGTTTGATTCCTCTCAAGTCGAACAAGTGGGTTCATTACCTCTCACTAGAGGTTTCATAATTCTTCAAAATGTATTCCTAAATGTTTCAAGTATGTCATTTACAACGTGCGTCAGTTTCTGCATTCTTAACTCCTCTTGGTTTACTTCCTGCTTTGTTCTGTCCTCTGACACCTGTCTTCAGGTGCGATTTGAGGTGTACCGCATCTCGGCGTGGTCGCTAGGTTTTCCTCTAGGTTGAGCTCAGGAAGATCTTAAGAATCATTAAGTATTGGATTAGAGCTAGGGAGGATACGGTTTAAACAAACAAAAAAAAAAGGAGAAACTGAATTTCATTCATGAGTGCTGCTGGCCCTTTAGGAGAGGTATCATCATTTTGTTTAAATGTGTTTTTTTTTTTTTTTTTTTTTTTTTTTTTTTACTTTTGTCTCCTACCCAGGCTCCCTCTGTCACGTTAGCAGCCTTTCTGAGTGCGCTTTCCTGGATGGTGGATAAAAAGTTTGAAGACCGCGAGAATCTGAATAATGACGACTGACAACCGCACGGCTGTTAAAAATGATCTCGAGTAGTCTTTATAATCTAATGTTAGAGACAGAATTGGATTTCACAACTGTTGTCCCTCTGATGAATACGCCTCCGTGCTTTTCCACCTTTTTAACGCAAATTTAAAGATTTAATGTTCAGATGATATTACCCACGCTTGCTGGCAGCGTAAAATTGTTTCTACAACTCAGGATTCATCTTTTGAGGGAAAAATTGTGAATACTACTGCATATTGCTGCGTCGTTGGACGCTTTTTCATGCACTGTCTAAGTATTAGGAACAAGTGAGAGCTTGAAGTCGTCATCAGTGTGGGAAACGGTAGATGGAAAGCTGAAATAGTCTCCCTGAACCGTCTTCAACAGTTATGGTTTTGACTGTTAGATAGAGATAACCGGCAGATTAGATACCTTTTTGAACCAATCAAAAGTGGTGTCTAAGAGCTCTCACGCTATTGGTGGTAAGTGCGGGAAACTGTCACGCGTGTACCAATTGAATTCCGCTCCTGATTGGTTAAAAGCCAGCATCTATGTTCTGAATGGCTACACTCTCAGATTGTTAAGCTTTGTGCAAGAGATGTAAATACGGGTAGTTCATTGGTTGACGAAGTTGCTTACCGTATTGGCGAAAACTTGAAACGCAAGTTTTCTATTCTGAATCCTAATAGAGCATATCGCTGTTGTCTTTGAAGCGTCGAAGTGCCTATGACACTTATTTTTTTTCTATTCTACATCAAAATATAATGACTCTTAAACATGTTTTTGCAACATTTGTGGTATTCTGCCCTTTTCTGAATTTTTTATCAAGCTCTATAATCCGCAGATAAAATGTCTGACCATGCAAAGAGGGACTGGGCGTAGGAACACAGTAGGAATCTTGTAATGGGAAATATTCTTCATCGAGTCAGAGATATTCGAAAAACCCCGAACTACGCATCGAAATGGCATTTTTTTGGCTAAAAAGATTGTAAACAGTAGCTTCCACACTCACTTTGCTTCTTTGATAAACTTGGTGTTACTACCGTTACTTCGCGGGTTCCAGTACTCTTCAACGCGGCCAAAGAGACACGGGGAGCCTAAGTTCGACTCAATTTCGGACTTTTATCTTCTCGTAAAATAACAGACGCATCAGAATCACCCCCAAATCTTACCAGACACCCTCTACATACTTCTATTTTTATAGTTTAATGCTAAAAGAATAGGTGTCATAAGCACTTTAAGGAAATTTTCTCCCCAAAAGCAATAACTGTGGCAGATATGTGTTAATATTCCTGTTTTGTAGTGGGACGGAGGAAGATCTAAACACTGATTCATCTCCACCAACAGTGTTCAAAGTCAGAGCAAACCATGCAAAGGTTAAATTTTGAGGGTATTTGAAATTTTCGGGTGATCATTTGCTAATTTCAAATAGCCTGGCATCAAGCTAAAATCGGTAGCCGGAGTTATTTCTTTCTCTAGGTTTGAAGATCTTCCTTCAGTCTCGCTGTGGTTCATTTTACTCGCTTGCTTGGCTCGAATTTCGCAGCTCCCCTTGGGGCCAATACTAGCGCTACATTAATTTTAAATAAAAACAATAAAATGCAAGACTCTGATGTCATCATTCCCGTCACACATTGTACGAAATAAACAAGGCCAGGGACCTGCCGCGAACTCAACTAAATTTGACACACACCGTTTAATTCGGCGCAGTTAGCCCCAAGGATCATAATGCGACAATCGGTTGCAATTATTCATCTTAAAAAAAGAAAGTGGCCAACTCTTAAGTGTACCTCTAGCATTATTTTCTTCCTTGCATTGTGCGTTAGTTCCTCCAAAAAGGTTCCAACCTGATAAAACTACATGGAACTGTTCATGTGTAGCTCCACCGATTCGTTCTTTAGTACATGTCTGTATCCCCTGTTCCTCTAATCTCATACCTGCCTGAGAGACCCTGGGAACGAGGTTGACCTTTAACTGCCCGAAGTGACTTCGTCGCCTTGTCTTTTCAAAGTAGTGCGCCTACCCCTTCTAGTCCGACGCTGGTTCAAAGACCTCTGCGCAACAGCTTTTGCTTGTTTTGTTTTGTTTTTTGTTTTTGTTTTTTTGTTTTTGTTTTTTTTGGCGCGACAGAGACATCCTAGACAAACATTCTATCGTGGTAGCATCGTGGAATAACTTTCCATCCTTGTCCTAAGAAAATCACTGCGTGGTGCAAACCTTTTTATTTATAATCGATCAACGATAAGACTTAAAAATAAATACACTATTTAAATTACTATCTGTGGTCACTTGAAAACTCAACATAATATTGCTTTCTATAATTTTTTTTTTCGTTGAGTTGGCGCTTCACTTTACTGGCAGCTTCTGGTACCGGGAACAAGGATAACTACTTGGAATCTAACAAAGTCTGAAACTGTAGATCAAAAGAAAATACAAAATGAGCTGTCAGCCAAATAGATGACGATTTAAAGATGCGAAAGAGCATGCAACACTTTCTATTACTGCCACGGGCGACTAATTCTAACAAGCACAATTTTAACACGGCGAAACGACACGACACGAAACAACACGGTTAAAACTGCAAATAAAACAGCAAACGAAAACCTATTATAATATAAACTACACTAAATACCCAAGGAAAGCTACAAAGAAAACAACGATGAAAACTACATAATACAAACTTATATTTGTTGCGATGTTGTGAATCCTGCCTAGTGGCGAACAAGCTGCACGAAGCGAAAAGAACGAATATACAAACTACACTTGACAAAACTGCACTGGAAAAAACTGCACAAACTACAGTGAACAATACGGTTTAAATACATGCTACGTTACGTAATGACAAAAAGAAAGCGCACGCAAAACTTCACTACAATTAGCACTACTGTACAAGAAACAATAGACAAAAAATAATGTGTAGCGATCTACACTTTCAACATGATATCTAAGTTAAAAGAGATGTAGCCCCTCCGCATACCGCTAAACTCAAAACTTACATACCCGACTTGTAAGGCCACTATTGGTGGGTGATGTAATAATCATGGACATACGTCAGAATTGCCAACGGCTGGCCAAGTATGATTGACAGCCACACCACCATGTTACCATAGTTTGGATAATCGCCAAGAAATTTTTTCACGATCAAATGGAGAGGGACCTGGTGACGAAAAAGAAGAGAACGTAAATAAAAGTGTTTAAAAACAACCTTGGAAAAAGAAACTGCCAGGTTGTTGCATCAATTCAGGACTGAAAAAAAACAAAAACAAAAACACCGCAAATACTTTCGTCTACATTAAATGCCTGGTCCAAATAATAAGTGATCAAGAGTGTTCAATGAAGACAATTCCTGTTACTGGAGAAAACAGACTGATTGTAGATTAATGTTACAGTTGAAATTGATTTCAGGTTATAACACTGAGTTCAAAGTGGCATGATATGTGCTTCCTTTGTGCAAATGTATTTGGAACTAAGGGAAATACTTTCATTTTGACCTGAAATTCCCGTGAAATTCGTTTTAAATTACAAAATATATGCTATTTATCACACCCCATGCTGCCTAGTTCGCATGCTGTGATTGCACAGAAATCTTCCCCCTACTATTTGAACCTAGAGATATTATAAATATCTAACTAACCGAAAATTACAGAACCTCGTTTTTTCCGCCCTCTGTTTTGTTGTTGTTGTTGTTTTCTTTTCTTTTCGTTTTTTCCAATTTATGCAAAAATAAAACCGAGCAGAAAAAACTCGGTCCATAACTTTCAGAATGGACAGCCTCGAACTCACTAAGTAAGAGGAGTGAATTACACCAAGCCCAACTAGCACCATGCCTCTTTAATGATTAACGTTACCTTTTCTACTAAAAACTTTAGGACGGTAAAGTAACCGAGTTAGACTCACCTGAGCAAGCATAGCTAGGAACGGTAAAGTAACCGAGTTAGACTCACCTGAGCAAGCATAGCTAGGAACGGTAAAGTAACCGAGTTAGACTCACCTGAGCAAGCATAGCTAGGAACGGTAAAGTAACCGAGTTAGACTCACCTGAGCAAGCATAGCTAGGAACGGTAAAGTAACCGAGTTAGACTCACCTGAGCAAGCATAGCTAGGAACGGTAAAGTAACCGAGTTAGACTCACCTGAGCAAGCATAGCTAGGAACGGTAAAGTAACCGAGTTAGACTCACCTGAGCAAGCATAGCTAGGAACGGTAACGTAACCGAGTTAGACTCACCTGAGCAANTAGCTATGCTTGCTCAGGTGAGTCTAACTCGGTTACTTTACCGTTCCTAGCTATGCTTGCTCAGGTGAGTCTAACTCGGTTACTTTACCGTCCTAAAGTTTTTAGTAGAAAAGGTAACGTTAATCATTAAAGAGGCATGGTGCTAGTTGGGCTTGGTGTAATTCACTCCTCTTACTTAGTGAGTTCGAGGCTGTCCATTCTGAAAGTTATGGACCGAGTTTTTTCTGCTCGGTTTTATTTTTGCATAAATTGGAAAAAACGAAAAGAAAAGAAAACAACAACAACAACAAAACAGAGGGCGGAAAAAACGAGGTTCTGTAATTTTCGGTTAGTTAGATATTTATAATATCTCTAGGTTCAAATAGTAGGGGGAAGATTTCTGTGCAATCACAGCATGCGAACGAGGCAGCATGGGGTGTGATAAATAGCATATATTTTGTAATATAATGATTAACGTTACCTTTTCTACTAAAAACTTTAGGACGGTAAAGTAACCGAGTCAGACTCACCTGAGCAAGCATAGCTAGGAACGCCCAGAATCTGAATAGTCGTAAAGGGACACTGACTAAAAACTTAAAAAGAATGCATCTGATCAAAAATTGCTACAAAGACAGAATCATTTATTCATGAAAACATTCTTTGGTTGACGATGGAGTTCTAAGCAATTTAGCATTCACGTGATAGGAATAGTGGAGACTCAGAGGTTTTAAACTGGAGGTTTATCTGGAGAAGTCAGCTGAAACGTACATTGATCAGAAAAAGAATTTCAACGATTTCAACCGTGTACATTGCGGTCGATCTCCGTTTTGTCAAATCTGCTTTCATCTTTATTTTGTACTACCACCGTTACTTTTCCTTTCCTCACGTTTCGCTTCGCCTGCAAAAAAATATTCTCTCAAACTGAGAATTCGGTGGAAGTAACTTTCCATCCAGTCTCATCTTACAAGTACTGAGAACCAAAAATACCACTCTTGAGTTACAACAACACCAACTACGGACCCCTGAAAAGAACAGTTACCTCATGGAAAAATGCAGAGAGTAAAAACACAGCAACTTGTGCTTGGAGAGATGAATACCCTGACTTTAACATGGGAATATAGAGATGCCTGCCATGGACAAAATAAAAAGGAGAAGTGAGTATTATTATCCGTTTTTGTCTTTTTAAACATTTGTGGACCTTTACTTTGTTTCGCTTCATAAGAACGCACAAAAGAGACTTGGTAAATTACCAGCCATATCTCACACTTGGTCAATAACCCATATGGAATAAGAACAATATAATTTGAATATATCAACAAAGTTGAAATGGTAAATTGGCCACAGTTACGGTTATAAAAGCTGACGTTTCGAGCGTTAGCCCTTCGTCGGAGCGAAGAACAGACCAGTTTTTCCCCCAATCTTAGTCTAGTGGCCTAGCTTCCATAGAACAGTGAACGCTTTGAAAGCGTGTGATATCGCAGTTACCTTCTCGCCCAGCGGTGGACAGGTATATTCCAGTTTTGCCAGAAATATGCCACATTTGGGGAATTCCTGGAAAAGAACACAGTTTACCGTTTTAGACTTTACAGTTTAGCCTCTACAAATGGATAAATGTTTGCTAACATACGTTCAATGCTTACCAGACAACCTTACGGGGCAGTGGGATATTTTTTCGCCAATATCTACTGCCTCACTCTTAACAATAATTCCACGAGCGCGCGTTGGATATGAGATGATAGAGAGCCAACGAGGCTTGTAGCGCCGAGTTGGCTGTAATCATCTCATACCCAACATGCGTGAGTGGAATAATTGTTTTATTAGAAAAAACGCGCCCAAGATATTAGACAAATCTTCTCGACTTTATTTTGTAAGAATAAACCAGATGTTACAATGTACAGATATTAGATTATGGTATATTGGCTCATATACCATAACGGCTAAGCCAATAGAAAGTCTTGAATTGCATTATCCAATGATTCAGTTTTTAATAAAAAGGATTATCCTTGAAAACAAGGACTGTATATGGTCTAAATCGTTCACGGGATACACTTTTTTTCTAAAAGAGCCCAGATTATGATGAAACCCTTGTACTAACCACCAGTCTCGATAGAACGTCCTGTCGCCAAACCGTAATAGTTCTGCTAAAATGTTAAGGCCACTGTGGAAGAAGGCGTAAAAGAACAGCAGCCATAACAAGTGGTTGGGAACCTTGAAAGTAAAATAAAAAATCACATTTTGCTATCTCAAAATAATTTTCCTCGGGAAGAATTCGGTTTCGATGATATTACAAGTCAAGTAGAGGAGCACGTTACTTCAAACATCCTCCAGCATGCGCAAAAATTAGATTGAACAGGTAAGGATTTGCTTAAGATGGAAATTATTGGAATTCAGTCAATCTAACCAGGGAGGAAAAATTTAGAGGGAGGGAGGAGAACAAAGGGAAGTCTAGAAGGGGGTATAACGAGGCCATCAAAGTTCCCCTTGGAAAAGAGGGGCGGGGGGAAATGTGGCTGTTACGATGAAGTGATCACGGATCATGCAATTTTCTTAGCAATGGTCACCATTTGCAGAGCCGTTTTTCAATTCAAATACACTGAGGTTAATGAAAAACACTCCTGAAATAGGACTCATGAAAACATCATTCACATCATTCTTTATTTAAATGAAATTTTAAGGTCCTCAGAGTAACATTTCACACTTACCGCAAGTTTCATCAATCTCTCAAGGCCTCTACCCACATCCATTTCCTGCGAGACATTAAATTTCACCATTAGACCTTCACCTTTAAAGCACAATGCGTATGTACTTGGTTCACAAGTCACATTCCTACCTGGATTGGTTTCATAGAGTTCTTTACTGTGGGAACAATCCACTAAAAACAAAACAAAAGTAAAATATATCATCTGATATTTGATGTTCTCATACAGAGCCTTTACAGAGCTGAGTGTGAGATACAGATGTTAGCCCGTGATCTCATTAGTAATTCTCCTTACTGTCTGCCATACAATTCTTATAATGTTAGTGTAGAGAATTTGGTATTGAATCAACTAATAATCCCCTGATTGACATTTTTCCTTATTCTCATCACTTGTCACCTTGATGTTGTATTGATATTGTAATGAGAAATTCTCTTTTGGAAATTCTCTTGAGTTAAAGGGTTAAGCCATTGGGAGCCTAAAACACGGATCTATGACAACAAAAGAAAAAAAGTGGGAAAAAAAGACCCAATCATCTCTCAGATAACATTTAACAGTTAATATACACTGAGCATGATTACCTGCTGAAATGCTCCAATTACAATTCCAATAATGAAAAACTGAAAGTAAAAAAAAAATTATTGCATGAAACACAAATCAAGAATTAAAGGTAGTCAAGACACCAAAGAGAATGCTAGTTTGATTCAGAACACTTAATTCTCATTGGCAATTCTCTAAATTTGTATGAAGTCAGAGAAACATGCCTGATTTCAACTTTAAAGCGTTAATCACAGTTAACGTAACTGTAAATTAAACAGACAACTCTACTTACAAATTCAGCTAGTCTTCTCAAAAGAAAGCGCTTCCGTATCCTTTTACTTCTGGGATAATTGAGCTCATAACACAAAGTGGGTGCAAAAATGAAGTAATATAAATCTGAAATTCAATTGAAAATGGCATAGGAGTTAGAGATAACATTTGTAACCTGGAAATACATTAACTTACTAATAACAGGGCTAGTTTGAGGAACTGGCAAAGAGTTTATAAGTGACAGGCGACCATGATGCTTGAATTTACAAGCCAGCTTGAAGCGTGATTTAACGCCTGAAGTATACAAAACCCATTAATTTTTTCTTTCATTTCATAAAGTCAATTTGCAAGACACTTAGAAAATATTCTGCATGTGTCTGCGATAGGGGGTTGAAGATGTTGTCAAATCAACACAATTCAACTCGAATTGAACAATTCATCACACTAAATGATGACCTGTCATATGCATACCAGAAGTCAATTTGCAAGACACTTTCGATGACCTTCCTTGACTGAGTAGTTTATACTTTATTTGATGAGATACAAGAGTTTTGCACAATGCACAAAGTATTCACATGACAAAGGAATTTTTCACTACCAATGACAAGTATATGATCAGTGTAGTGGTTTAGGGATGTCAAACAATACTAACAATAGAAAAGGGCCTAATCAAGGGAATTACCAATTCCCTAAGATTTTTTTTTCTAACCATTTTCACTGCATTACCACAGTGGGGTACGACTAGAACAGAACATATGCTAACCATGCGAGTAGTCCACCCAATAAATCCCACCCATCCCACCCCAGGGAAGGACATCCATCACACAGTAATCTCGTGCGGGGGAAAT